CGAACCTGCAGAACCGGATCATTAGTAGTTATCTCTTCTTCATCTTCACTATCATGAAATATTAGGAATACCTGCTCGGCCATCTCTTCATGTCCTTCCCGAGCCGCTGACAAGTCAGCTCGAAGATTTTCACTAAGGTGTCTGTACGAGTCACTTTTCTCAGTAAGGCTCCGAACCTCAGCATCGTGCTCCTCCCGGATGCGAAGAAAGGCTTCGTGATGCAACACTGAAGCCTGCAAACAAAAGAAGAAGCATTAAAATTACCAACAAACTCTAATGTAAACCTAATTACCAGTAGATTTAGCCGATTCAAAGCATGTTGGGCCTCGTTGAAGAGACAAGCAGGCCCCACCGCATTTATCACTGATTGATCCTCTTCGGTCATTATGGGCCAAAGATAACTGGCAACCCCCACGGGGGAAGAAAAAATCCGAGTATCCGTAGGTACGGAAAACTCTATCTTCCGCCTCCGGTCAGGATCGATACTTGGGGCCGGAAATCGGTCCACCAGTTTATAAACCAACGGAGGTTCGATAGAACCTGACCATGATGCTTTTTTGGGAACCGTCGTTCCACCAATACCAGTGACCTCCTCCGAGGCACCTGATTCGAGCCCCTCCAGAAAACCATGAATATAGGTCGACTCCTGAATACCCTCATAGGACCGATCCTCCAACAAGACGGCGTCTCGAATCATGGCATCTGAAATCTGAGGGGATCCGCCAACGTCAACTGTCCCGAACTCCTCTCTTAAAATATCCTCTACTGCTCGAGAAGATTCACCCTCGGCTTTCCTCTCTATCAGCTTGGTTCGAGATGGAATGATCTCGGCTTCATTTTGTTCGAGGATTATGGCCAGGTTCCCCTGATTTGCTTCCACCGAATCAGAAGATTGTTGAATCACAACATTAGCATGTACGCGGGCAAATTTCTCCTCTCCTTCTTCGGGTTCGCCCCTTGAAGGGCGGACCGCTTCCGGAAGCGCAACACCAGAGCCCCCCTTTTGATTTCGAGATCTTTTAACCGGTTTCCTCTTCTCCGAGATCGGGGGACTAGGTACGTCTTTTCTCTTCTTCTCTTTTACCGGCTTTAGGACATGAACGTTTTCGTCACCAGATGGGGGCCTCATGACTACATCTTTCCCAAGTCCTACAAAAAAGAAAATGGGGATTTACCATACAGATCGATGGAAAAGCAAGTCTAAAAGGGATTTACCATGACTACGACCCTCCCATCGACCCTTTGATAATTCTACCCAAGCACGCTCGGAGTATGGTCTCTGCAACACCAGGCTTTCGACCCATTGCCTAAGGTCCGGGATCGGTTCCGGCACTCGAGCTATGGCTGCGATTAGGAACAAAAAATGGATCAACAAAATAAAAGGCAATCAGCAAAATCAAAACAAGCAAATAAAACTTTTTGCTCACGGCTCATATTCCATTTCTCAGGAAACGGTAAGTCATCGGCTGGTATCAGATCCGAGGTTCTGACCCGAACAAAGCGGCCCATCCAACCCCGATCCCGAGTCTCGTCAATACTCGAGAATGGCGCTTTGGTTGCTCGGCGAGCAAGCTTGATCAACCCTCCTCGATAAAGTCGGGGACTGTAAAGGCGCATAAGATGGTCGAGGGTGAAGATACGCCCCTCGACCTTGCTCGAGAAAAATCGAAGAAGAATCACTATCCTCCAAAAGGAAGGGTGAATTTGGCCGAGTGTCACGCCGTACCTCTTTGCAAAAGGCAACGACGACAGGGTCCAGGGGTCCCAACGTGAAAGGATAAGTATAAACACTTAAGAATCCTTCGACGTAGGTAATAATTGATTCATCGGGCGATGGGATTACCACGAGTTTGTTATCCCAATTACATTCATGTATAACTTTATCAAGAACTTTTTCGGTAATCAAATATTGGTACCTCGACATCAGCTCACACCGACCCGGTATCGGAGAAGGCTTTTCAATCTTAAAATCACCTACAGTCGAACACCCAATCGGAACAAATTCCTTAAGGCGGTGTTCTCCCACATCCTCACCACCAGAAGGTCGAGAAGAAGAAGCGGTCTCTTTTTGCGGAACAGACTTGGACGTTTTTGCCATTTGAAAATGTCGTAGACAAAGAATGAGGATATTTTGGTGCTCTAAGGAAGAATTCAGGGGAACTTGAAAAACTGGGAAGTTTGAAGACATGAAAACTGACGAATGGTGGAAGAAAAGGCCATTTATATATTGAAGCATTAACGGTTCAGTATCAGATGTGGCCGACCGCCGTCTGACACATTAAATGCCTCGGTAAAACCAAACCGACGGGATAGCTATCATTTACATCATGGTCGATATCGTTGAAAACGTCAGTATATATTTAATCAAGATGTTGGGAAATCATATCGTTTCTCATTAAATTCTTCTCCGAGAAACGAGGGGACTATCTGTATACGGTTAAAACCGATCTTAGTCATTCATACGGGCTGGTCGAAGATAATGGTGTATCGATCAAAGGACATCTACATAACATGCCCGGTCAAAATACGAAATAGGGACATCGAGCTCTGAGCCTCAAGACCGGTTAATGACCTGTTCGATATCGAGCATCGAGAACAACTATGGTAGCTCGATATCATTATCGGGCTCATACCCAAATCAGATTACGAAGCAAGGTAGAGACCATCGACGATACGGAGACCGACCAATTTGCACGCCAAACACCGAGATCCCCAGGTCAGAATCGAGCCTTGACCAAGGCCGACAGCTCGATCCAGTATCGAGCTCACAGACAAAAGTCGTTGCAACCGCATCAAGGTAGAGAATCTTAACGAAAATCAAGAAGGAGACAAATCATCATGGGTCCTCCACTATATGTATTATTTTATATTTTGTTGTAAACAGAGCAATGACCCTCTCTTATAAAAAGGGCATCCTTATAGACAAGAAGGGGGGACGGATAGAAAGAGAGATCTATTTAAGCCTGTTTTAGGCCATCCAATAGAGGGAGCTTCATGTTCATCTTTCCTGCTCTTATAGCTAAAATTCTTGTATTGTCGTCTTTGTATCAAAGATTTTACGTACCCTTAGAACCATACATAAATTCAACATTATCCGATTTTTCGGGTAAACAAATAATTCTAAAAATATCGCACAATCTTTTCCATTAAACAAAGTTTTTATCTTACACAAGATATAAGATTTGAGGATTTGCACATTATATATTTTCCATTGGAAAGATTCCAAAAAATATTTAGATAGAAAATTTAATTGTTAAACTCTTAGACTGTCTTAAAGGGAAAGCTATTGGATACTTTTTTTTGCTGAAAATTTGGACATGAATCTTCGCCAATCTAAGTGTTATATTGCTAGTAAGAGAATCAAATCTACGAAACAATCTACAATTACTTCTATCAATCTTTAAATAATTTATTTTTTTAGGTAGCTCTAAAATGTCTGTCATAGAGTTTAAATATTTATACTTTTAGTTATGATTTTATTAATAATGTATTACCTTTCTTCAATATTTAACTAGTGAAATATGCATATCTTTTGAAATTTTAAATTTGAATAATTTTTTTAATCTTTTATATTTAACATTAAAAAATAAAAATAATTAAATTTTGGATATTTTTTTTTATCTATAACAGCCAAAATATATTTAAACGACAAATGTTGTTATAGGTGTATAACAATCATTCACTATAAAAGCCTAAAAAATATCGAAAAACGAGGCAGAGAGGGTTGACTGTTTTCAATTTACAACTTCTGGAACATAAACATATTTCTCGAGGAAGACTCGGGCCTCATTTATTTTTTTTAAAGATTAAGACATCTAAATCTTAATGCATATTTGAATATCACAATGTGTATTAAGATTAAGATATTTGAATATGAATACGCATTTGAATATTAAGATATGTATTAAGATCTAAATACTAAATGATTAAGATTGTTTGTTTTTTAGCATTTGAATATATAAAATTTATCTTTATTTAAAAATTAATAAACATAAAATTCTAATAAAATACTAATTAATATAATTGAGATGGGTGAATGTGTGGTTATGGTTGAGGATGATGGTGGTGGGGTGGTGGCGGCTATGGTTAAGGATGGTGCTGGCAGTGATGGTAGTTAATAATAGTAGACGGTGGGAGTAATGAATGGGGATGATAGCATATTGATGAAATTAGGTTTCTGCTATGTATCTTAATCATACCGACCTATTCAGACCCATTAAGTGGTTGTAAAATAAAAATAAAAAAACACACTTAATAATTAAGATATGAATGATTAAAATTAGTACTTTAAAAATAAATATACTTAATGTATGATATATGAATGATTAAGATTCGGACCTCCATTAAGTGCAAACAAACGAGGCCTCAATCTCAATAGTGAAAAAAGGAAAATGATAGAAAATCGGCAGTTATTTTTTGATATTCTATTCTATTTGTAATGGATATATTTATATTTATTTACGCAAAGAAGATGAAGTTCACATTTTAGATGCCACTCAACTGCCAGTTCAGCTGCCACGCAGGCTCGACTTCCAGCTCAGCTTCAATACACATTTTCAAATTTCCTCTTCATTTTCTTCTTGTACCATAACTGGCAAGTATAATCGCTTAAGCAATAGGGTACTAATAAGCTAGTATGATTTCATACGCTAGATTATATAGAAACCCGAATCTTCCCTCCCTAAGATATTTCCCGGCAACATTTTAAACCCTAATTTTCTAGTTGTATAACATTATTCTCCCCGCAGAGACCTAGGGTTTTTTACCGGAGCAATTTCTACTATAATAATGCCATCCCAACCGTCGCCGGGGAAAATCCACCGGCTAGAACTAGAAAACTTCAAATCCTACAAAGGGTTTCAAACAATCGGTCCATTTTACGACTTCACAGCAATTATAGGCCCAAATGGAGCCGGAAAATCCAACCTAATGGACGCTATCAGTTTCGTCCTCGGCGTTCGCACTGGTCAGCTCCGTGGTGCACAGTTGAAGGACCTTATTTATGCCTTCGATGACCGTGAAAAAGAGCAGAGAGGTCGAAGAGCTTTCGTGAGGCTAGTTTATCAGCTTGCTACTGGTACTGAAATTCAGTTTACTCGAACTATTACTGGTGCTGGTGGTAGTGAGTATCGGATTGATGGTAAAATTGTCAACTGGGACGAGTATAATGCCAAATTGAAGTCCCTTGATATTCTTGTTAAAGCACGGAATTTTCTCGTCTTTCAGGTTCCCCTTGCATTTTCGTTTCATTTTTCTTGTGCGGATTATTTATATTACATGTAATTAGTGTTAAAAGTCAAATTTATTACCTATTGGAATGGAACAAGCACAATTAGAGCGGAATATTCATAGAGATGACGCCAAGTAGTAAGGCATAGTAGTTGAAATGGTTTTATGAATTAATGCTGCAGAAATGATATTGAAATATCAGCAAGTAGCTGTTTGTATTGTTTATGAAAAGTTCTGTCAGTTCTGCTTGCAGTTTAGAACAAACTGGGGAAAGAGAAAGATAAGAAATATTATTCCCTCCGTCCAATTTTATGTGATGGTATTTGACCGGGCACATAATTTAAGAAATAAAGACTTTGAAGTTTGTGGTCTAAACAAACAATAGGTATTTGTGTGGCTATAAATCATCTCATTAAGAGTAAAATTGTGAGTTTAAAGTTGAATTGTTTATAAATATAGAAAGATGTCATTCTTTTTGGACATACTAAAAAGGAAAGAGTGTCATATACAATGGGACCGAATGAGTGGTTATTAGTGCAATTGGTGTGAGTTAGTTGTCAATGAAGTGAGTGAAAACCGTGGATGAGCATAGTTATCCAGTACCCGTGGTTGTGGGAGGCTGTGGGAGGTAGTTATTCAGTAGAATATTCAGGTGACTGCAAGCTGGCAGGGGCGGGCACCGCTGTTATTAAAAATTGAAATATTACGGGAATTTTGTGTATATTTTATGGACTGGACTTCAATATGACTCTGATGGGGTTACTTCTTTGTGTTCTGTGTTTCCTAAGGGGTGTCGAATATTTAATTGTGTGTTGCTTACGTCCTCTTTGGGGTTTGGATGCCTTTTTAGTAAATTAATTTCCGTAATAAAAGGAATTTTTCAGAAACCATCCATTACCGAGTATAAACTGAAATGGTTGCTCCTCTAAGTTTCCCAGCAACTATTTTTAGGCTTACTAGTTGCTAAAGGAATATTATTTTGAAAATAAAAGATTAGGATCTTTCAATTTAAAATGCTTATTTTTTTCTGGATTTAGTTAAAGAAAAAGTCAGTTGCTACCTTGTGTGTAAATAGATGTCTCTTCTCATGATGACTTTTGATGCAGGGTGATGTCGAGTCAGTTGCCTCTAAAAATCCAAGAGAACTTACTAATCTTCTTGAGCAAATATCTGGATCTGAAGAGTTTAAGAGACGGTATGAAGAATTGGAAGAAGAAAAGGCAAGAGCTGAGGAGAAGAAGGCATTGGCTTACCAGAAAAAGAAAACTGTAAATATGGAGCGGAAGCAGAAAAAGGAACAGAAAGAGGAAGCTGAAAAGCATCTTCGGTTACAAGAACAACTGGTATCAGTTTTAATATATATGTTTTGGCTGCAGCATCTTTTGTTTTAATCCGACTGTAAGACTACGCTTCTGGTTTTCTTGATAGATTCCTATATGCTTTTAAGTCATGCCCTTGATGATTTTGCTTTTCCTGACTATTTGTTCTTCAATAATGCTTTTTCATATGTTTTTGCTTGGTTCATGAATTGTCTGAGTTTATCCTTTTTCCTATGAGATTAAGCATAACCTCTTTTTCTCAAAACTAGTTAGTCTATTATTTTTCTGCATAAAAGTTTGGGTAATATTTAAAATGAGAACTCGATATGTCTTTTTCCCCTGTGAGCTGCCATTATACATACTTCCTTGCTATATTTTTTCCTGTTATAATAAGGTGAGAGTTTTATCTTCTTACACATCCTTGTCTGTTCTACCTTCTATTGGTAAAAGGGAAATTGAGCCTAAAAATTTTGAATTTTTGGGGATATACATACATACATACGTAAATACATATATGTATTTTTTGTGTGTATATATATACACGTATGTATACACGTGCGTATGTGTATATGATAAATTAGGGAGGTACCATATCTGGTGGAATAGTCGAGGTGCGCAAAACTGGCTCGGACCCCGCTGTCATTAAAAAAATGAAAAAGGGCCAAATATACCCCTCTACTTCCAAATATTGTTTAAACCTACCCTGTGTTATCAAAGGCGAAAAGCGCAAAAAAGCTCTAAGGTCCGTTGGGGCTTTAAGCGCAAAGCGCAAATAAAGCGTGGACTTTAATGAAAAAAGGCGCAACGGGAGAAAAGGTAAAAATATGCATGTAGTCCAAGACTAATCATTATAAGCACGAATAACAATTATATGGACAAAGAAAAATAATTTATGATAAAGTGAAATATCAATTGTTTAAGATCGCCTTTTCAGTATTACACTCATTGGCAAGGAAAGGTATGCCTTAGAGCTTTGATGCGATACTAAAGCGCCCACAAAGCGAGGCGAAGCGCTCAACGTGTTTTGAGCCTCGCTTCAGGGCTTAAGCGCGCCTTTGACAACACTGAACCTACCCTCCGTTTCACTATCTGGTTTCTGAGCCCCTACTGTTATAGGTTATACTATGGATCAAATTTGCTCTTATTTTTGACGGAGGGGCACGTGGCAGTGTAAAAGATCCACCCCCAATTTAATCTACCTGGATCCATACTAACCCGTCTGGAACCCGACCAACCCCTCAACAAGAGAACTATTCATCTGGAAATGAATCTAAGCTGGCACTTGTGCTATAAGCCCTTCTAATTGTTCTGGTTCTTGGCATGAGTTGCGCACAAGATTGAGACCTATGTAAATTCAAGAATTGGGGACCAAAAAGAGCAGTGATTTAGTTCAATCTTCCTATGCAATATTGAATCAATGTTTTTGATAAAGTGGTAAGCTCCAATATAGTAATCCAAAGCTAATCTTAGCAGCAAAGTTCCGTGAACCCACAACTTTCGAACCAAGCACCAGCAACATTTTCTACTATGAAATTAAGCTTGAATCCACTTAATACAATGATACCCAGCTGATTTTCTTTAACAAACATTCAGTGCTTTGAAAATTTTAGGTCCAACATTCAGTAACCAACAGACCCGAAAAACCTCAAACCCAAAAATTCTCAACAATGTCCTTCGTGGTTCTTCATGAACCAACTTTGAAAATTCAGACAGATCCATCCTAAAACTCCTCCAAACTTCCTCAAATATGATATTTGAGCTCTGTAGAATATACCCAATATTTTAGAACACCCAATCCAAACAAAACAACTATTTCGAAAACCCGAAATTCAAGTTCGAAGCTCCAACTTCTTTAATGGAGTTTTTGTTTTTTCTTCAAACCTGCCACCTTCAAGCAATGGGTAACCACGATTTTTGGAGCATAAAGATTTTGTTTCATTTTGAAACTTCTACTTTCTTCAATTAGTAATTTTCGAGCTTCGTCACACACCCAAACTCAGATTTCAAGAACGCCATTTTTTAATTTCAAACCTAAACCAGTCACAACAGTAAACTGAAGCAACTGGCTGCGGCGGTGCCAGAAGGGGACGAGCGGCAGCGACATTCACTTCAAGAGGCGGCGAAAACAAGAAGGGAAAATGAGAAGAGTCCGTAAGGGGTGGGTCTCTTAATAAGGATTTGGGTCAGGTTACGGGCGGGTTAGTATGAATCTGGGTAGATTAAATTGAGGATGTCTTATAGTAAGGAGCTGCCACATGGCCCTCCTTAAAAAATAAGGGTAAATCTGATCCATAGTATAACGATAGGGGCTCAGACAACCAGATAATGAAACGGAGGGTAAATTTAAACAATATTTAAAAGTAGAGGGTATATGTGGCCTTGTTTTGTTAAAAAAAGAATGCATATGATAAATTAGGAATATTTTTATGAAAAGTATTTATAAGGATGTATTCTGTCTTCCCTTTTCCAGTAGCTATTCAGGAGAAAATGTTCTTGTTTGTTAGAAGATGGTGGACAAAGTTTAATTAATGTTTTGGTGTTTCTGATTTCCTTCCACATTACCAAGTTCTCAAGATTTATCTAATTTGTTGATCCTTAAATCACTGTTCCACATAGGTATTCCATGCCTTGTACTTCTTTTGATTATTCAAACATGTCATTTTATTGAAAGAACCAAGTTGGTGCCAAAAGTTGCATTGCTTCCAGTACTTGGCCTTGAGCTTGTAAAAAGTCTATCCAGCTATCTACACAGAAAAGTGTACTATTATCTTAACACCAAAAATACATAAAAAACACAAGGGAGCTCTTGATCTTCCAAGTCTTGTACCTTTTCAGTTAGCATGCAGCTACCTGTACTGATAAAAGGCAATCTACTCTATATGTTAACCTGCAGAGTTGTATTTGCTGATGTCTCTGATTTCCTTCTTTTGTTTTATGCACCACACGTAGTAAATGATCTGTGTATTTACCTTCTTACTTTTCTGGTCAGCTTGCTACTGGTGATAGGAAAAAAGAACATGTAAAATATTTGTTGACATCATCTATCTTGCTACTTATGCCAAAAAAAAAGAAGCAAAGTTATAAAAAAGATCTACTTTGCGCTATCTGTTATTCCGTGCTGGCTTTTCCACACGGTAAGTCACAGTGCTTCTGTTGTCTTTATTGCAGAAATCTTTGAAGCAAGAATACTTTCTATGGCAATTATTTAACATAGAAAAGGATGTCGCAAAGGCCAATGAGGAACTTGATGCTGAAGAAGCGGTTGTCAAAGAAATTGTGGAGAAGCTGGGGGAATATGAAAGTGCATCTAGCAGCCAGAAAAAAGAACTAAGTGGATATATGAAAGAGATTGCAATGTACGAAAGGAAGATTGCTGATAGAAAGAACAAACTTGACAAGAATGTAAATTCATCAACCTTATTAATCTTGCTTTTACAATTGTTATTATGCCTGTTGTTATTGCCTTGTCATGTGTGCCTGGGAGTTGAAGCTTCAAGTTACATTTCAAGTTTTTGTGCATGATACCCTGCATAACTTAATGTCACGTGAGCCAGATTTACTGCTATTAAATCTTTGAGATTATGATATTCAGCACTTGTGTTTTGGGAGTAGAGTTATTGAAAAAGGGAAAGGATGCAAGCTGATCACCAATCTTGAACTGTGTTTTGAAGTATAGGTTCCCATATAGCACTCATTTTCAAATTTGACCATGGGATGGACTCTCTAGGGTTTTGGCCCGGGGGGGGTGGGGTCACATCACCTCTAATCTTCCAAGAATATAATCTTGATGCCATCACACACCTTAGAGCTGGTAATTCTTCAGATGTTCTATCTTGTTTTACCCACATTTAGATAGCCAAAACTGGAAAGTGCAAAATAAGCCACAGCCTATTGGGCTTTAATTGCTAAGCGAGATTAAATTGTGAGTTTTAGTGAAGAAAGGAACTAATGAAGAAAAAGAAAATGTAATGCAAGGAAAAGTAGCTATTAACACAAACAACGACTATTTGGACCAAAGAATTGGAATAACTATAATTAAACAAAATATGAAGTAAAAATCATATCAATCAAGCCTATAACCCTTTAAATTTTTGACTTAGATGATAGGATGTAGCTTTATGTTCTTTTGAGCTAGTCTGTTTATGCGAAAATTTTCTGTTTCTTATACCTAATCATTAAAGATTCAGTCATAACGTTTTTTAGCAGTTAATGTAGATCAGTATACTGACTATTTATTGTCTAATACTATCTTCTTAAAGATAGAGCCAAGACCAAAGCTCACAACTTGGATTTAACTGAGCTTAAGGGCTCAAGGGTGCCTCAAATGAGCCTTTAACAACATTGCCCACATCATATGTTTCCCTTTCTTTGACTCAGTCTATGCATGCACTGACTTCATAAATAATCACCATATTGTGTTAAGATTAATGAATTGCCTAAACTCCAAATAGATTAACCGATACTCAGACTCTAGATTCTAGGGTTGATGCTTATTTGTTGCATAATTTAGTGCTAACATGAAGGATGATGACAAATCCAATTAATTTTCTAGTTATGAGAATGTATAAACTTAAAGGATAATGAGAACAGTGGAAACCGTCTTTGTTGGTGATGGCTAAAATGATTGTATATTTGTATGTCAATTCGGCGTTTCCATTGATTTCCATTGATTTCCAGGTGAACTGTGGTCCTGTATCCATTATGGAGCATCATAAGCAGTTTGTATGTGGTATTCTTGTGAGAAATAAGGACACGAGAGAAAATATTATAAGAATCCGTCAAGATAGCTCCTATGCCGAGTCCTTTTTATATGTTTTCCTGATGTAGGACGCTAATATTAGGTATAATATTATGCACCTTAAGTGTGTATATAAAATATGTAACACTCCCTTTCAAGCCAGTGCATACAAGTCGGTTGTACCGAGCTTGTTACAAATGTAACTTATTCGATGATCACTAAGGAGCTTGGTGAAAACATGTGCAAGTTGATTGGTTTTTCAAATTCTGTAACAAGGTATTCTGAGAGTATCTTTTCTATGAGACAGTCGATCTCGAACTCTCGATATGTTTAATCCTCTCATGAAAAACCCATTTTGATGCAATATGAAGAGCAACTTGACTATTACATACAAGTTCCATCCAAGCCAGTTCAGAAGTTGCCACAAATATTGTTTGATATTTTGCTTCTGCACTAAATTGAGCAACCATATTTTGTTTCATGCTCTTTCAAGACATCAAATTCCCTCCAACTAGATCAAATTATCTAGATGTGAAACATCTATTAGAAGGTAGTCTTTCCCAATCTGCGTTTGTGTATTAACAATCTGCTTATGACCTCAATCCTCAAAGAGTAATCCTTTCCCTAAGGTTGTTTAATATATCGAAAATAAGGTCAACCGCATCCCAATGACTGTCACATAGAGAGCCCGTAAATTGACTTACATTATTCACCAGAGAGGCAATGTCAGGTCGAGTCACTATGCAGTAATTCAACTTAACAACCAATCTACTATACCTTGCAGGATCAGTAAGGGGCTCCCTTGATTTTACAAAAGCTTAGCATTTGGAGTGTGAATGGGTCTGCAACCTGTCATTCTTGACTCCTCAAGAATGTATAAAGTTTACTTCCATTGTGAGATGACGATACCTTTTGAACTGAGCGACCTTAATGCTAAAAAAACTACTTCAATTTGCTAGATTTTTAGTCCGGAAGTGTTGGAAAAAGGGGCGCTTCAATTTAATGATACCATCCTGGTCATTACCATTGATAACTATATCATTAACATAGACCACCAAGTAAATGAACAAATATGGAGCAGAATGTCGGTAGAAAATAAAATGACGAGTTTCACTAAAAGTCATGCCAAACTCTAGAATGATCATGCTGAACTGACCAAACCATGCTCAAGGAAACTGTTTCAGATTATATAGTGATCAGTGCAACCAACATACAAGACCACTAGTATCTCCCTGAGTAACAAAACCAAGTGGTATATACTTCATCCTCAAGATTTTCTTGGAGATAATCATTCTTAATGTCTAAAGAGGCAATGGTGAATATTTGCCATGGATTGAAAAATATTTGTCTAAATATTTTTTTTTCCTTATAAACAAAGGAGGCCAATGGCGAACATTTGCCATGGATTGAAAAATATAGCGTATGCAATGTTAGCCACAAAAAGAGATAGTATAACTGTAATCAAGCCCAAATAATTGAGTATATCTGGCAACAAGATGCACCTTTACTCGAACAATTTTACCATCTGGACCAATTTCTGCATAGATGTTCTGAGAATCTATAATATATTTACGTGGAGGTAGAGTGACACGCTCCAAGGTACCATCAACATGTAGAACAATTATCTCCTCAATGATATCTTGTTGCCATCCCGAATGAGAGATGGCTTCCTTTTTATATCCACACCGTACAATGTACGTAATCATGTTTTCTGGATGTGCAACACTAACACTAAGTATAACTATATACAAGTTCACTATGTACATGAACTATCTAACAATTCTATTCAGTTGCTTCACTAACATTAACAGATGTTGCTCTAGATAAGCATTTAGAAGATTTCAACATTTTGAAGGAGTTCTATTCATTGGATTCCTAAGTGACTTGTTTTGGTCTCACAACTACATTGCTTTATCAAACATGTATGGTTATGTATTTGATTATTATTCTATTTTAGTTTTGTGTGTCTACTATAAAGCTTGAAAAAAGTACACTGTGATGTACCCTACTGAGTGAGCTCATTAGAAGTAGCCAAGGTATCTGATCTTTTCTCTGTGATAGAAAGAAATGGATACAAATTATCATTTAGTAGATGTACACTTGTTTCACAATTACTCTGCCTTCCCTATCATTGTGAACTATACATATTTCTAGGTAGTTGATGATATGGTTACCTAATGGTTTATGTTTTCTGTCCATAGCAACCTGAAGTTGTAAAGTTGAAGGAAGAGATGAATCGGATTACTTCAAAAATAAAAAATACGACTAAAGACCTTGATAAGAAGAGAGAAGAAAAAAGAAGACATGCGGATGAAGTGAAGAAACTTCAGAGTGACTTGAGGGACATTACTAAGCAGCTTGATGAAGTGCGTCAAAAAAGTCAAGAAGCAGGTGGAAAACTTCAGTTAGCTGACAGTCAGTTAGAGACATATCACCAAATGTAAGTCCTTTGATCATTGAAGCATTCTTATTTACGTGTACAAGTGTGAGTAACTGTAGCTGTTCAAAGTTGATCTGGTGCTTTTTTCTGGTTTTGATAAAAATCTCTTTGGGTAAAATAGTTTGAGCATCTAGGCAGGAATTATCTTGCCAGTTCTCTTCTTATCACCCTTTATTTTCCCACTCTATTTCTTATTATAGTTGGAAATTACAGCATCCCACGTTCTGTCAAATATGGAAAAAATTTGCTTTTGTAGTTGTCTGAAGTCGGTCATACCTACTACACTCTACCAAGTTTGTATCACCTTTATTTTAAATATTCTTGGATTGTGTATCACCTTTATTTTGAATGACTAACTAAAGTTAACAAATGTAGTAACTGAAACTCAGATGACAAGTAGATGATGATCGCTTTTGTATCAGTTGAATACAATTTGTCCAAGAATCAAAAGCCATGGAAAAACACCACTTTTACATGCATAAGCTCTTTATGGCCTTTGTGAGCATGTTTGCACCCAAAGTTCCAGTCCGTTGCATCTCTATTCCTCAGTGCCTATTGATGGTTGGACAAGCTATTATAACATGTATGCAGAGGTCATTTCCTATTTGCTTTGGTTGTTTATTAGATGGGCTATCATGGGCTCAAGTTTTTATTTTTTTTGCTTTCTCTCTCTCTCTCTCTCTCTCTCTCTCTCTCTCTCTCTCTCTCTCTCCGTTTCTCTTTCCCTCTCTTTGTGGCTGCCCTGGTTGAGGATAAGAGGTGGATGACATCAAATGCTATGCTTTATCAATTATTACTTCATTAGAAACACAAATGTTTTTCTTTACACATGCTTGCTATGTTGCTATCATTGTTGTCTTTGTTGATCTTTTAGTTTGTCGTTTCTGAATAGATTTGTACATCCATAAAATGAGTAAAGGACAATGGTTTCATTTGATGAAGCGATATGAATTTGATTTTACAGTAAAGAGGAGGCTGGCATGAAAACTGCAAAGTTAAGGGATGAGAAGGAGGTTTTAGATAGGCAGCAGCGTGCTGACATTGATGCTGAGAAGAATTTGGAAGAAAATCTTCAGCAATTGGAAAATCGGAAGCATGAGCTGGAGTCTCAGGAGAAACAGATGCAAACTAGGCTGAAGAAAATTCTTGATGCAGTTAAGAAGCATGATGAAGAACTGAAACGGGTGAATGAAGAACAGCGTGAGATGAAAAATAATCTTAGACGGTCCAGGTTAGTCAGATGGAGCTTTAACATATACTACTGAATGACATGATTTCTTCTTAATTTATATGCTTGTACACGTTACATATGCAAGTGCATATAATGACCATTTGCATTTACTTATATTTATGTACATAATGTGGAATCTCTTCTTTCCACAGAGACAAATATGACAATTTGAAGAAGCGAATGGATGAAGTAGAAGATCAACTTCGTGAACTGAAGGCTGAGAGACATGAAACTGAGAGGGATGCCAAATTGTCTCAAGCAGTTGAAACTCTGAAGCGTTTATTTCCTGGTGTTCATGGTCGGATGACTGATCTCTGCAGGCCAACACAAAAGAAGTATAACCTTGCTGTAACTGTTGCAATGGGCAGATTTATGGATGCAGTAGTAGTTGAGAACGAACAAACAGGAAAAGAATGCATCAAGGTTCGTATAATAACTCTATCTAGCATGGCAGTGACGTGTCTAATGCGTAGTAGCTCAGAGTGCCAAGTCTCTTTTCTTTTTCCACAATTTAATATGGATCTTGCTTGTGTTCCCCCCTTATGTGTTTGATTTTCAGAATATGCGGATTTCCTAGTTTGGCTCTGTCAACTTGGATGATGGATTGGTTATTTTGAATCTGCTGTTTTGGGTATTGTTGACCTATAAATGAAGACTTTCAGAGATGTAGAAATGCTAATAGTATAGATGGTTAAATTTTTGATTATGAATAAACTCTATAGAAGGGGATCCAGTGTCTATCAGGCCTTTTTCACGGTTCTCTACTTAATTGTTTTCTTCTTTTCAGTAATTGGTTGAAGCATCTTATATAGACATTTCCCATAGTTGTTCCTGGTCTCTTGGAGGGGAATATGTCTTTTCTTTTCTTTTGGTTGATAACTAAAAACTTTCACCAATAGCACCCAGGCGTAAGATATTCCCGATCGTGAATATGTCACTCAGGCATAGTCATCTGTCAAGTTGGAAATGGCATCCTAGCTTGTTCCAGTGACTCAGTTTTGCAATTTCAAAGTAGCTTCTATCTTCATTCATTGTATGATATGTGATTACAGGATTGTCGAGAACGTGGTCATCAATAGGTGCTGATTAGTTTGCAGTTTCTGTTGTGAAGAATTTTTTGAAATAATAACTTAATGCAGGGACCGCTAGTATCGTGCATAAGCTATAGTTGAAAATTTAAGTGTTACTGCAAAAACTATCTTGATCAGAAATCGTTATTGTTAGGGTTTTGAGCTTGAGTTTGTGATAGTACTAGATTTCTTGTTTTATTCGACTGTGTCTATAGGTTTAAATTTAGGCTATAATTTGCTTGGAAATAGGGCTGATTGTGTCATCAAGGGAACTGTACAGAGGAGATTAGCATAACCCAAGCTAAAGGATGATAAACACAAATCAAGAAATGGTTGTTATCAATAGAGAATGTGGGTTTAACAGGTCTTGTTTTCTTGATTTTATTAATGGGATCTTGATGTGATGTGACACTAGTTCCTGCCTCAGCCTTTGGAATGCTTGTGCAGTTTTGAATACGTTTTTGAGAAATCCATAATTCATCAAAGAAAGTTGTGTGATCTGATGGAAACATATTGCTACATTGTGGTTCTGCATCAAAATAAGGACAGAGGTGCAATAGTTACGTGTGCTTCTTTAGTGTCCTCTGGATGAAATGGTTCATAAGTTGGTTTGAATCCTGAGATGCTTCCGTGTGCTAGGGAATTTTATTAGTGCTTGCATGATGGGTTGCCATGCATTTGGTCCAAGGTGAGAAATGAGTTTACTGGTTTGCAGGAATGCTGATCTGCAGTTCTGCTCTCAATGCTCTGCATCTCTTGTTGATGGACTTGTCTCTATTTTCAATACTTTCCTCTTCTCTTCGTAGGGACTGCCATGTATATGGTTTCTTTTATTAGAGAAAAAGGTTAGAATTTTCTTTTCCGTCGTAGAGTCGTGTGATTCTCTGGAATGTTATTTTATGAGGTAGAAGGGCTAAGTTTGCTATGTAATGCTCAGTGATCATGCTTTTCACTTCCAAGTAGATGAAACTTCACCGACTCTTGTTTTAATTTAGTTTGGACAACTTCTATTTTGGCAAAATAACAAATTGGGTATATTTCTAAGCTAATGTCAGTTACAGTTTACTCCATAGTTGATAACTATCAATCTTAGCTGTTTCATGTTTACAGGTGATTTATTACCCAAAATTTCCTGATTCAATTTGCTAGGCGAACGGCATTCTTCCAAAGAGAGCAGTACTTAGTGTTTCATGTTATATTGTTTTTGATGTATGTTAGAGCAATGTCCCCTGCTCAGACTATAACAGCCTTATCAATCACATAGCTTGACGGGATGTGATTTTCTCTTGAAAGACTTCTATTTACCGTGAAGTGATTAAACTACGGAGTATTTCGTCTAATCCTTATACAGTGGATCGTTGGAGACAAAGTCAAAGCTTTGATTTGTTGCCCCACATTAGAGATTCTCTTCTTGAATTTATCATCCAGACATTTAGTTAGAGGAATAGCCTCTTATTCTTGTTAGTTTTGGTGCACCCATGAAGTTCCTTATGCATAAGGGATTGCGCGACATCTGTAGAGAACCATGTTCTTCTAGGTTCTCTACTGTTTGATATATGGTTGTATACATGAGTTTTTCCCATATCTATAAATTTCTTTCCCTAATAAACAACTCATCCAAACATTTAGTCATTGCAATAACTATTCTCTGCGGGCTTCATTTGTGTAGTATTTGAAAGAACAAAGGCTTCCTCCTCAGACATTTATACCTCTTCAGTCAGTTCGTGTAAAGCCAATAATAGAGAGGCTGCGCACCTTGGGTGGAACTGCAAAGCTCGCTTTTGATGTCATACAGTATCCTGTCTTGCCATGCTAATCAATGTATCTAATATTTTGATTATCTATGACTCTTCACCTATGAACAACTGATTGCAAAACCCTAGCAGATGCCATTAGTTTTGTTCTTAACAGTAAACAGATTTGATCCCTCATTGGAGAAAGCTATTTTGTTTGCTGTTGGTAATACCCTTGTCTGTGATGACCTAACTGAAGCTAAGCATCTTAGCTGGAGCGGGGAAAGATTTAAAGGTAAGTTCTACGCTGTTAACAAACAACAAAAGGCTCTTCCCTCGTTTCCATCTTCTGGTTGCTTTGGATTAAAGTAGAAAAGGTATGCTCTTTTTGTACTTACAAAGAATGTATGAGTTTCTTGTAGTTGTGACTGTTGATGGGATTCTGTTGACAAAGTCTGGTACAATGACTGGTGGTACTAGTGGTGGCATGGAAGCACGTTCGCATAAATGGGATGATAAAAAAATTGAAGGTTTGTGGAGTTCATTATCTATGTTACTTTGGTTGGTTGCATGGTTCTGAACTATTCGTTTTGTAGGGCTTAAGAAGAAAAAGGAAGGTCTTGAATCAGAATTTGAGAAGCTTGGATCGATAAGGGAGATGCAGCTAAAGGAGTCTGAAGCATCCGGAAAAATCAGTGGACTTGAGAAAAAGATTCACTATGCGGAAATCGAAAAGGTCATTGCTTATCTATTCATATAAGTTTGTGAACAGAATCTCCATCCTTTTAGTCCTTAAAGAAACTTCAGGCAACCACAATTTAGTTGGATCGATCTTCCGATTAAGATACTTGGATCTTCTTAGCTGACAACCTATAAATAAAGCTCATCTCTAAATGCTAGGATTTCAAGAGAATTCCTGAAAGTTACTGGTGATGTCATGTCGATATTTTTGGGGTGAATGGAAGGTGATTTCATTCCTTAACATATATACTCCCTCCATTTCAATTTATGTAAACCTATTTCCTTTTTAATCCGCACCAAAAAGAATGACCCTTTCCATATTTGGAAACAATTTACCTTTATGCAATGATTTATAGCCACACAAAATATATGTGCCTCATTTTACACCACAAGTTCAAAAGTCTTCTCTTTTTTCTTAAGCTCTGTGCCTAGTCAAATAGGTTCACGTAAATTGAAACGGAGGGAATATAAAAACTTAAGATTTGTTTTTTAATTATATTTTTCATTGCTAATGTATTATGTCATTACATGGTAAAACAGATGTTCCAAGAAACCTAAGGGATTTAATTGACTGCAGTTAATTTTGGAAAAATTGGTTTATTTAATTGTTCAGAGTTGAAGGACAAATTGTTCTTTGGCTCATTACTTAGTTTGCTAGTGTCTTACTCTCTTTTTGCATTGCTTTGATTCACCTATCCTTTAGTTTAATGACCAAGGAAAATCTTCACTTCATGTGGAATAAGCAATTTAATCATTTTGATGTAGAGTCAACTTCTGTTTGATGTGGAGTCCACTACATAATTTAAGTCCTAGATTTTCCTACATTTCACTCCTTTCTCTTGGAACCAACTTATGTACTTTAGGGGGTGGGACAAAATGTTGAGAGTGAACTAGAGATTACCGGAGGAGGCAAAAACCTCAGTAGCTCCTAGGATTGTAAGGTTTCCATCCATGATTCCCAGGGTTTTTCAGTAATGTGTTTTGTCTCTGACTCTCTGCTGTGCTGTGATTTTAACCTTGACTTCCAAGGTTTGCACCCATTTCATTAACCACTAGGCCTAGGGGTGTGCATAGTTTGGTAAATACCGAATTACCGTACCGAAATTTTTGACTTCAGCATTATGGTATTTTGTATGCATTTTAATTTTTTTTGGTATTTATTAAAAAATACTGAAATATTGAACCTCGTACCAAAATGCTTAATTACATATACAATCCATTATATTATATCATTATATAGCTAATATTAATTTAACCAGTTCAAATATAAACTAATAAAAGGCCCAAAATCCTAAAATCCGTTGGGCTAAAAGCTTCTTGTCATTACTATTATGTATAAACTAAATACTTAATTACATGTAGTCATATACAATACCGATTACTCAAACTGGAGTGTCATTTCCAGCCACCTCTAGATAATTTTAGTTCGTTTCAAGCATGAAAGGGTTCCCACCACTATCGAAGTCATAATTCTCCACTGTGTGTAAGTCGAGTCGAATAAACCGTGGTTACCGACTTACCGTACCGCACAAACCGAAGCTGAAGTTAAAAAATACCGAACCTTACGAACTAATTCGGTATGGTTATGGTAGAGCATTTTTGAAAACCGAAAACCAAAAACCAAAATTACCGAATCTAAGTTTTAAAAGCCATACCGTACTAGGCCACACCCTTGGGTGCTACTTTGCCTCGTATGTAATGGTTTTATTCTTTTGTGTAGTTACCAAATTCTCCTATTTTGCTGGAAGGTGAATATAGTCCTACTTTCTTCCATTCAACTTCTTCAAACCAACTTTTATCTTTGTGTTTGTCTTCTTATAATTTGTTTAAGTTTCAAATAAAACTAATACTCCCTCTATCCCAATTTACGAGGCGCTTTTCGCTTCTCTAGATTTAAACTATGTGAACTTTGACCAACTCATCATACTGACATGAGAAGATTTGCAACTTATAGTACTTTTTAGCATAATTTTTGAATATCTAAATTTTAATTTTAAAATATTGAGTTGATCTAATCCAATTTAGCTTCAAGGAGTAGTCAAATTGACTCTAGAGAAGCGAAAAGTGCCACATATATGGGACGGAGGGAGTAAAACTTTTTCTCTTTATTTGTGATAGGTTATTTTGAAAGTCTTTTTATGGGTCAATTTGGACTACTTACATAGCTCATAACTACCCAAACCTTTAGATTGGCTAACTTGGGGTGTGCCCAAATTGATTTGCCATGAGTATATGTCCAGCCTAACTCAACCAAACTTGGAGTGGTCGAGGCATTATATTTTGATGAGTTGAATTTGGCCCTTTATATGGAGCTCCTCCTTTAGAGGTGTGTGTCTTGTTCATTTGTCATGGCAAAACCAACATTTCCTATCATCAGCCATTTAGTATTGTATGTGGTTCGCAAATGAGTCTAAAAGCTTCCTGATATTCCCTACCCCGAAGTATTACCCAAGTGATATGAGGATATGGGATGTCACATGCTTAGATACCAAAGCCCATGAGTGTCATATTTAGCCCTTACTAGTTTTTGGACATGTGCGTTGCACGTGTATCCCATATCAAGTAGTATAAATTTTTTTAAATGACAAAAATATTATTAAAATTAGTGTGTCAAGTATGTATCAAACAAAAATTAAAGAAAAAATTCAAATTGTAAATGATGAATGGTATAACTGATATCAGATTAAAATGACTGGATCGAATCTGACCTGCGAAGGTAAATAATTCTATTTAGTTGGGTAGGTATGCTTTGTAATTACACTAATTTTGATGTTGTGAGGTACAAAATGGGATACGATCGTATATCTCACCTAATATTTTTTAAGAGACGATGTTTGCCCCGTCATAACCAAACTCTTGTTGTCCCCATATTAAAATTCTTGTTGAAAGTAACAACAACAACAACAACAACCCAGTATAATCCCACTAGTGGGGTCTGGGGAGGGTAGTTTGTACGCAGGCCTTACCCCTACCCTGGGGTAGAGAAGCTATTTCCGATAGACCCTCGGCTCCCTCCCTCCAAGAACTCCTCACCTTGCTCTTGGGGTGACTCGAACTTACAACCTCTTAGTTGGAAGTGGAGGGTGCTCACCATTAGAGCAACCCACTCTTGTCTTCTTGTTGAAAGTATAATATACAATTGTCAATGCATTAATTTTTTATGAAAGATTATAAGAATCAGATGTTAGTAAAAAAAATTATAAATTAAGTACATAGTAACTTACAACGACAAAGATAGAACAAAAAGAACATAAAAGAATTTTCAACTGCTATACAAAACGTTCAAGAATTACTTATGCATAGCTAACTCCGGGCAACCATACTTCAACCCCAAAATATCGTAAAGAAAAACTGATATGCATGGTTAGTAAAATCAATAAACTTTTGTCATGGAGCAGCGTATCTGTTTTATTTCTAATAAGCATGAGGATTAAGTGAAATGGAGTGAACAAAAGTGGATGAACTGACTTGATCTGATTGTTGCTTAATGGCTCTTCTGTTGCAAGAGCTTAATTCTCTATTCTTCTTAATTTCAACACTGGCGTTCTTCTCCTTTGCTGGCTTCTTGTCGATTGACTTCTTTGCCTTTGTAATCACGAATACTCTAGAGAGGGAAAAAGTTAGTTAAAAACATGTTGATCCAACAAAAAATATTATAGATTTAATGATATTTAGAGTCAGATACTATAAGATTAATATTCAGATGAATGAAGTACACTACTTCCATGGACAAATGTATTTTCCTTCTCTTTTATGTTACCTCCTTTTTTTTCCTTATCAAAAGGTATCATTTACACTTGTATGTACAAGATCAAGAAAAAGAATTATTGAACTTATGACTGGTATTAAGAACAAAAAGAAGCTATTTAATTTTTTCACCTGAATGAACAGTTCTGTAAATCCTTTAGCGAGCATTACACGGAATGAGCAGTACCTGCATGCAAAATTATTTTGTATCTAATTTCTCATTTTTCTAGGAAATCAAAAGGTTGCAGCTTCTTGGTCACTTTATATGTTTGGTAAAATTATGTTTACACTCTTCATAACTTCTTCTCATTCAATTAACCAACAAAAATGTGTAATTGATGTTGATTATATGAACCAACATAAATGATAAAATTGTAACAGCAGGCTCTTTAATTCAACATTATCATTCTAATAACCTTCTAAATTACTAACTTCTCGAATTCCTCATTTAGTTGACATAAATTATACAATTGCAACATATATTGAAAGATAAGGGGCAATATTTAAGTGAAGGTAAATGGTCTTTCAGTTTTATTGAATGTCTATTTACGCATTTGTACAAAAATATTTTTGAAGTAATGTGTGGTTGAAGGGCAGTATTGTCACTTAGTTTTTGATGGATAACTTGGTAAATTAACTTTCAACTTTAGATTTCCCACTTATAATATAATATGATTATCTTCTTCTACCATTCGTTGGGGTCTTGAGTGATCCTGCAAAGCCACTTAAGCAACAGGTATTTGCTAAGCCTTTTTTTTTGGGGTGAAAATTGGATAGATATGAACAAAACAAAGAAGCTTATGCCAATTACAACAAATGAGTTCTTTACACTTTAGAGGTCGTTTGGTAGAGTGCATTAGAGAAAATAATGCATGCATTAGCTTTGTGTATTAGTAAAATCTTGTTTGGTACACTTTTTCAACCTATGTATATAACTAATACAAGCATTAGTTATACATCATATTTGGTATTATCCTATGTATAGCTAATGCATAGCAAATCATGGTATTAGCAATACTAAGGCTATTAATGCATGCATTAGTATGGTGAAAGGCCAAATTATCCCTAAAGTCCTTTAAAGCTAAAGAATATGGAGGGCATTTTTTGTAAACAAACAATTTTCTTAAAAATTATGCAATGGATTTTAATTTTTAATACACCACACCAAACAATAATAAGAAATAACATCTGCATAGCTAATGCTTGCATTACTAACTCATGCATTACTAATCCTTGCATTAATAATACACCTTATTCAACGTTATTCTTATACACCTTACCAAACGACCCCTTATTGTATTATGGAAAGCTAACATCAGATCTACTACATTTACATCCTCTAATTTACACCAAAAAGCCAAAAGAGAAAGGCATGCTTCAAAATATGATATTATCTTATTTGCTTTTGGAGCATCTTTGGCTTCTTTCATTCCAAGTTACCCGCCAAATGAAAGCAGGGATGATGGACAAGAAGTAGGCTAAGCATTTTTTTTTGCAAGCCCTCCATACTTCTTTTGTAGAGTGATCTTACTCCATCTAGCTAAAAGGAATGTGTTCCCTCCCTTTTTCCCTTTCCATATAAACTCTCCTCTATGTCCATCCAGCCATCTTTCCATTTTAACTGGTAAGGGAAATATGGACATAATAGAAGCTATCCGTTGCAAAACTGTCAAGCCAACAGGGTCAGGTATGAGTAGTGACAATAGCAAAGGGAGGCTGGACGCTAGTTGTGTGAGTAGAATGACACAACTGGACCTAGTCAGTCGGAGCCGTTTTGCTGTTTTGAGGACCCTAAAAAGAAGAGGGAAAGATACTACATCTGGACACTCCTGAAATCGGAAGGGATTGCTCAGGATGAGTGTTCTGGGTAGCAAAGCCGAGGAGGGTGTAGTCAAGGAGAGAACCCCTAGGAGAGTCATTTTGACTCATAGAAGTGAAGGTCTGGAAGAGAGGTTCAACAATATCATTGATTGAGGGGGTCTTGTTCTGTGAGGCTATCTGTCATGTTGTTTACAAGGATGATCCTATCACATGAAAGACACTATTCTATTCATCTTGCCAGCCTCTCTTCACGCTTTTTCATTACCCCTTGCCATGTAACTGGGTCATTACACTTAGCCCCTACTGGTAGTCCTAGATAAGCTGTGGAGAAAGAGCCCACACTGCACCCTAGAAGGTTAGCAGGAGTTTGACTATTCTCAACTCCATTTACAGGGAAAACAGCCTTGTTGATTAAATAATATTCAGCCCTGTTATTGCTTCAAAGACAACCACAACGACCCTTAAGAGGATCAGTTGCATCTCATTAGCTTCATAGAAATTAATCATTTTATCTACTTGCCTTGTTGGTTTTTCTCTTTCTCTATCTATATCTATATATGCATCTTGTATTACTGTTTGAGTTGCTTGCAGAAAAGTATTGAAGACAAGCTTCTAAATTTGGAGCGTGAAAAGGGTACTATTGCTAATGAGATTGGACAAATCCAGCCTGAACTTGAGGAGGTATTACGCTTCTTGTGTTTATGATCTGATTCTGGTGTTCATTTATAACTTGGTGCACAATTTGGGTTTCTGCAGTTGAAAAGAAACATTGATACGAGGGCACGCGAGATCTTATTACGAGAGAAAAGGATCAATGACATTGTTGACAGAATATATAAGAAATTTAGCGAATCTGTTGGGGTGAAGAACATACGGGAGTATGAAGAAAACCAGCTCAAAGCTGTTCAGCAAATGGCTGAAGAAAGGCTTAACTTGCATAACCAACAGTCAAAGCTAAAATCTCAGTACGTGTGCCTGCTGATTTAAGCATTCATTATGCCATCATAAAAGCTAAAATAAGTTGATGTACTGAAACTGTTAGCGATCTGAGACTCAGATAATCTCGTCTTTCATTTTTTTTTGAGAATGGTAAATCAATTTTCATATTTCTGTACGCCCTCCTTGACAAAATGAATTTCCAACATTATTTCTTGGACCATCACAAAGTATTTTCCACCTTTCTTGAATTTGAAAATTATGCTGCTCATTGTGCTTGCCTCTATCAATGTCGTTTAACATCCAGAATGTCACATCTTCCTCAATTTCAAAGTTCAAAATTTGCACTGGCCTTTTTTCTTCTTCTCGATTTAGAGAGGAAGTTGTGGATCTCTCCTATTTCCACATTTTGCATTAAGAATACAGATTTGAACTTCCATATTACTTTAGGAAGTGTTACGAGTAAAATCAGGATGTCTAGATTCTGGCGAAGAAAATTATTAGCCATCTTTTTACAGTTAGAGAAGTGTTTTGGGAGCCATTGGTTGACTAGCAGTAATTACATCCTATCTTTCTTCTTCAACATGGTCTGCTGAATGTTAGCTGGACAAACAAATCTGGTAATAATAATTTCCATTTAGAATGGTGATCTAGATAACAGTGGACATGACTTCAAGTACAGACATCTCGCTCTCGCTGTTGATGATTTTGCTGTTTTATATCTTTTAATTGGTAATTAATACCCTTAAGCATTTTTAAAGGGTGTGGTTCCTTGATGCTTGTAGCATTTTCTGTTGTGCTTAAGCTTAACATAATGCTTGTAGCAATGGAATCTCAAGTTGTGTGCAATTCTCTTATTCCTCGAGGCACTTGCACTTGGAGTATTATGCTTAGAGCTGCATTCTGAGCAAATTTTTGGGATCTGATGAGTAGTCGTGGGTCTTTATGAAAAGAAACTGTTAAGCTAGATTATCAAAGTCTAGAAAAGGTCAACAAGAACTGATAACCTAGAATTCATTGTGATTTTTGTTGGATATGCAGTCTGTTCCTTTGTAGGCTAATGAGATGGTAGGCGTCAGTTTATAGAGGAATAAAATCATATATCAATGTTATGCAGGGGGGGTGGCGTTAAAAATGATATCCGCTGAAAAGGTCCCCTTTTTGCATATAGGGACTTAGATGGCAATCTAAAGTCTAAACAACCCTTTTTCCTGTTTAACGAATGGTGTTTGCTGCTTTCCTGTTTTATTTCTGAGCCTTGCCTCACTGAGGTGCTGGGGTTTTAAGAGATCGAGGATAAGAAGTATGAGTTGTCCTTGCATCTTCTCGAGTTGCCAACTCTGAAACACATAGAAATGTTTTTTCGTTGTTGTTTAGAACTTAGAAGTTAATAATTAGAGTTTGTTTAGATTTTGAAAGTTATATACTCTTTATTTCAATGACTTAACTAACTTCTTCTATGCTAGAGATTTTTACATAATTCTGCTACTCTAACCTTATATTACCTTCTTCTAATACACTGGTTTTGCCATCATATGCAGAGTTATTTTCTAGACTCTTTTGATTTAAGAAATTTTCAAGTTTGATTTCTGCCGAGTCAATTCAACTGACCTTTTTCTTGTAAAACATTATGTTCTCTAGTTTTTGCATAGTTTGAGTCCCTAGCACTCCCTGACTTTCATTATGTTATAGGTTGGAATATGAGCAGAAGCGGGATATGAATTCACGTATTGTGAAGCTGGAATCAACTCTTGGTAACTTTAGGAAGCAATTGGAAGAGATTGAGGGCAAGCAGGTGGCCCAGAAGTCAGCCATGGAGAAAGCAACTGAAGAGATTGAGGGTTACAATGAAGCAGTGTCCGGTAAGTTTTTTCAGTATTATTTTTGTGTTTAAGTTGCGCCAACTTTTCAGGTTGGTCGGACCATATGTCAGCGTTCATTTCATGAATAGAAATTCAATGTAAAAAATATCTTCCCAACTCAGAGAGCTAGATCAGGGATAACATGCATTCTTGACTTGGAGAATTGGACGTGTTAATGAGATGTTAATTTATGGATAAGTGTAGGCTTTTGGTGATAGGAAGTTAGCAATAACACAAGTGAGATGTTAATTTTCTGATTCAGTGTAACATTATTTTTATACAGGACTAATTAAGTAATTTTAAAACCATTTTTCAAATTCAATAGTAAATCATTTTTGAGTTACTGAAATTTGAAAATTTGTATATAGGGTGTTAGTATGCTGTCTCTATCAAAAGCTATTAGTTTACAGTGTCAAACATTTTCCAGGATGTTGTACCGCTTTCAGTCCTTCACCTTCTGGTACAGCTTTGGATAAACGACAGCCATTTTTCTTTCTTTTTTCTTGTTAAGGCCCTTTTTTT